AGAGGAGGCGCGTGCAGCCGTGCGCGGCTGGCTCAGCTTGGCCGCAGGAGCCACCAGGCAATCAATCCCACTCGCTCACCACACTCACCTCTCGACATCATCGCCATCATCATCACCACCTCCTTCCGGCCGTCATCGCGCGCGCGTACGGCCGCACCTTCCTTCCTTCCTTCCATGTCATCCCCAATCCACCCTACATCTCACTCATAAAGGCGCACACTTACCAGCCGCTTGCCCTGCCGCCTGCTTGGCCCGCCCTCTCCTCGTCCCATGAGCGCTGCCACGCCCAACAGCCCGGGCTTCCCGCTCCAAATGGGCTCAGGCGCCATGGCCGCCCAGTTTGGAGCGCCCTCCTCTTCAGCAGGAAGCCCACGCTCTCGACCTACCACACCGCTCTCCGCCGCCGCCTTCCTTCCCGCCGGTCCCACCTACGACGACCTCAGCAGATGGGAGGATGCCGACGTGGCTGCTTGGCTCACCGCCGCTCGCCTCGGTCACCATGCCGCTACGTTCGCCGAAAACGACATCCGCGGCTCCGTCCTCCTCGACGTCGATCAGGCCGCGCTCAAGGAAATGGGCATCACCATGATCAAGGACCGCGTACGCATCCAGGCCGCCATCAAGCTGCTCAACAAGCGCTGTGCAGACGCCGCACTCGCTCGCAGACCCAGCGCCGTCTCCCTTCCGCCCTTGTCGCCCCTCGCCACCCACGCCCTCTACGCCAACGAGGGCGAGATCGAGTATCTCGAGCACGACCACCTCGCCGACAACTCCGCCCACGCCATGTCGCCCGGCTTCGGCCCCAACTCCATGGGCCTCCGTCGCGGTCAGATGCGCCCGCCGCCACTCACCCTCAAGCAGTCCGCCTCCCGCGGCATGCCCGGTCATCCCTCCCCCGCCAACAACCTCAACAACGGCCACGGCTTCGGCCTCAGCGCAGCGCGCGGCCTCACCCCTGGCGCCGCACGCGGCAGCGTCTGGAATACCGCCTCGTCGTCTTCCACATCGTCCAAACCCCCCACCGCCGACGGCGCACTTCATCGCAAGGTCAACTCCATCGGAGGAGGCGCGGCTCCAGCCATCGTCGGCGCTTCCTCCTCGTCGCTCTCATCCGCCCGCCACCTTCACGGCCATGGCCTCCACTCCACACGCCCAAGCACCGCCACCGGCGCAAGCGGCTACTCCAATCCTGGCGGCGGCTCGCTCCAATCGCGTGGCGGCCTCACCTCCAACAGCCCCACTGCTGCTACCTTTGGCGGCGCCGCCGCCAGCATCAACGCTGGCCGTCCTTCCACCGCCACAGGCGCCCAAACCTACTCTGGCGCCGGCATCAACGCCACCAACTCCGTAGTCAGAGACGGCTACTCCCCGCTCACCCCCATCTCCGAGTCCAACTCCCACGGCAACACACCCACAACCCCGTCGGGCATCCAGCAGCAGCAGCAACAGCA